TAAGTTGGACATCAGGAGGCACTACTTCACGGTCAGGGCGGCTAGAGTCTGGAACCAGCTTCCATGTGAGGTGGTGCAGGCTCCCACCCTGGGGGTTTTTAAGAGGAGGTTGGATGACCACCTTATTGGGGTCATTTGACCCCAGTGCTCTTCCTGCCATGGCAGGGGGTCGGACTAGATGATCTGCTCAGGTCCCTTCTGATCCTAGAAACTATGAAACTATGAAACTATATAACAAATACTAAAAAGCAGTCAGGAACAAAACCTTTTCCTTCCTATTATTAAAACCTTAATCTCTCAGTGCCCATATTTTTAAGATTAGGTGTGTGTTGCAAGGTTCAGATAGTTGTGGTTTCAATCTTACCTACTTTCACTACTTGATGGGAAAGCTCACAATCTTTGATTTGATTCTTAAAGCCCCAGCTCCTGGGGTCATATGATCATACAAATACTAGAGCGTTCTTTAAAATAAAAAAAAGTATGTTTCTAGCCCTTGGGATGGCAGAGAAGTACTCAAGATGGGAAGAGTTCATAAAGGCTCAAAAACCCAAAGGGAAATAAAAATAATCCAAAATATACAATTTTTATACCACTATAAGAAGGGGTTTACTGTGCCGGACATGTACTGTGCAGCAGCTCCTTTAATCTTTGTCTTTTCACAATGCATCCTTTTCCTTTCCTGACCCCCCACCCCCATTCCCTCTGCTGCTGATTGGCTAAGGGGCCCCAGAGACCCCACCACTTGCTGCTGATTGGGCAGGAGGCAAAAACTGCAGCATATTTAAAACTGTGGTTTTTGGCCCCCAACCAATCAGGAGTGAGTGAGCAACAGGGCTGCCAGGGCTCCTTTGCCAATTAGTGGCCGGGTGAGGATGCATAGTGAAAAGAGTAAGATTAAAGGAACCACTGCACAGTGCACTTCCGGCACAATCTAGGTAAATCTCTAAGGTTCATATCTTGCATCCCAACTTTATCCCTGGTCCTCCCACTGCTATAGCATATGGAATTTTTTCACATCTAAATTGGCCTGGCTGCTTACATGTGCATTCTCCGCTGCTCCAGCATCATCTGGATCAGAGGTCCACTGTGTTTAAAAGTGGATCCACTTAAGTAGATACCTGACACCAGCTCACAATACAATTACATCCAAAATCTTTCATGCTTTTTGCATAGTCCCGTCAAGATTGGTATGCTCCAGGGATACATGCTGGTGCTATGCCAAAGCTAAGAAAGTACAGAATTACACAAACATGAAAGAAAAAACAACAGCTGTGCTAACACTTCCAGACCTCTGCATGTCAAGGCTGTGGACAAATGGGACCTATGGGGATGGGGAGGAAGGGAGGATTTACCACCCAAGAGTGCAGATCAGCTGATCCATTGTGATTGTTTTGTCTGTCACTTATATGCCACAGTAAGAGAAGGGAAACCTCAGCAATTCACCCCAGAATTAAGCATGTGATCAATTACGGTAGCTTAACTATGAGGAAAGGTTGCGGGACCTGAACCTGTTCAGCCTTCAAAAGAGAAGGCTGAGGAGGGATCTTGTGGCCTGTTATAAACTGGTTAGGGGGGATCAGCAGGTGCTGGGGGAGTCCCTGTTCCCCCGAGTGCCACAAGGAGTGACCAGGAACAATGGTCACAAGCTGGCGGAGGGAAGGTTTAAGTTGGACATCAGGAGGC